GTTGGGCTCCATCTCCTTCAGCAGACTGCGTGCTTTGCTGAGGGACACGGTGCCTTATCACCACTTGTTTGCCTTGCGAGGTTGGGCTTTAAGGAGACATTCAATCAAGTACCTTTTGATTTGTTTTCTTTGCTTTATTTTATGGAGGCAGAGAGGTGAACCCAGGGGCTTTAGCATGCTGAACACATCCCTCCCCCTGAGCTATACCCAAGCCCTCAGTTTGCTTTTGAAAAATTTATTCCTCTTCCTTCATTTGTTCATGCCTTTTCTGCTTTGATGTCTGTGTTACAGAGTGTATCTTTCACAAGTCCTTGTTCCCATATATCATTTTCAAGGATGTTAAAATTTGGGGCATAAAACAAGTTGCCATCTAGTCCTCTTGAGGTTCTAAGGCACTCTAGTGCAGGGCACTGTTACACCTGCACGGAATCCCCTACGATTTTTAGGCTAACATTTGGGGATGTCTGTTCAGGGTATTCAGCTTAACTTCGGAAATCCTACAAGAAACCTTTTTTCTTTCTTAGAGGTAAAGAAAAATTATTTGGCCATTTACTCTTTCTCCGAACAAACATGTAGTTTTTTTTTTTTTTTTTTTTTTTTACACTGTCAAAACTCTTGGGTAGATTAGGTGGAACACTGCCTTGCCCTTTAAACACAGAGCATTACAAGCGTTTGGTGGCAAAGGTAGGAAGGCATAGCTAGGTGCTCCTCTGCACAGGAGTAAGGGGATTCCAAGCATATATATTAAAGACTGAAAACACTGGATGGGCCTGGGGGTCAAGTGTCTTGTAAAATCACATTTCACTGATAGCACGGTGGCATTCATCACATTTTTTTTTCGAATGAACGATTGAACTCATGCCCTTGCACTTGCCAGGCAAGCAGTTATCCTACTGAGCTATCTCCCCTGCCCCCATTCATCATATGTTACCAAAACAAATTTTAGGTAAGGGTTTGGGAATATTCCTGAGAAGGGTTATCTTTCTCCTTAGTGATATTAGTTTAAAGAATTACAATCCCAGTTGGAAGTCCAAGATAAACAGTGGCCAGGAAGGATGCTTTTGTTGCCAAGAATGAATCACAAGAACCTGTAGCCATCTGTAAGCGGAAGTCTCTTGATGAGAGGTTGTAAATTGGGGCTGTAGATGCAATATGCTCATTATATACACTGTTAATCACTTTTCAAATTAGCTGCCAAGAGTTGAAATTTTGGACATGTCACTTAAGACTCCAGATTTGTTTATTATTTTATGAAATCAGATGGTCTGACAAGAGCAGTTTCAAATTTTCCATAATCATAATTAGCTGAGGCTGATTACTGGCTATCCTTGTAGACTGGCGCATACTTACCAATTTCTCCTGAGCGCTGTCACTTCCCTTGCTTCTCCTGTTGGAGGAAAGAACTCCAATATGAGTTGCCATGATTAAGTTCATCTGCAGTCCTATTTACTTATAATTAAGAGTTCCAGTACAATTAAAAGGAATGTTTGTGAAATAGTTCTTAGAGCTGTATCTATCATTTAAAGACAAACTAAAAGATTGAGATGGTTGTGTTTTCTAACAGATGGGACAGTTTGCATTTCCTCATAGAAGTGGCAAATATTTCAACATCTTTACTACACATATAAAGTATGCTTTTGTTGAAAAACAAAACTTCAGATATCAAAAGTATGCAGCCATCATAGAAAGCATAACTGATATACCTTAGTATCCTTTATCTGCACTTTTTGGTAGCAAGGGCAGGAAGGATGTTTCAAGGAATACGGAAGATGTTCCAGGACTTCCTGCTCTTTCTGAATCTGTATATACAGTGTTTTCCCATGTGAATATACATCTATGATGGAATTTAATTTATTAATTAGGCACAGTAACAAACTAACAATAACTAAAACTAAAACAGGACAATTCTGACAACACACTGTGTAAGAGTTATGTAAATACGACCTCTCACAGACTCTCTGAGTTTCTTATCCTGCACTCACTCCTGTGATGGTGTAACCAGACGCCGTGCCTATGTAATGAGATGATGTAACATGAAGGATGTTGGCATGAGGACGGTGTTAGGTCTGATGTAGTAGCTGCTTGAACGTAAGTAGTGTGCTATCGCAACAGCCCATCTGACAGCTGAGATGGTCGCTACGTGACTAGTGCACAAGGAGTGGATGCAGCTTGGTATGCTGGACAAAGGGATGATGATGGTTCCAAGCGGGGAGGAGGAGAGCAGCATGATTTGCCATTATCTTGCTCAGAATGTCATGCAGTTTAAAACATTAAGTTGCTTTTTTTCTGGAACTTTCCATCAATATTCCAGGACCAGACTGAGCACACATAACTGAAATCTTAGAAAATAGAGGCACAAAGAAGAGGCAACTACTGCATAGACAAGATGTCCAACTGGAATCTTAAAGAAAACAGATGGAAGGGTCAGTGGACTTAGGTTCTGAATGTCTACATTAGGTGTTACTGCTGGAGAATGCAGTATACCTTCCTAGGCGTCAAAGCACCTTCTGGAGGCCAATTTATAAAGTATCAATTGCGTCAGACGTGAGATGTCAAGAAGCACTGTTGGTGTGTTGAACACATGACTGAGACCTTATCTAAGGCAAATTATGTGCAAAAGTGAATTTCTTGTGAAAGTTTCTTTTGCAGCTTATGAAAACAGAATAAACACTGTAAGGTTATACATTTCTTTCATGAAGTTAAGGAGAATTTTGACATGAATGAAGAATTTGGGCTGGGGGGATGTGCTGCCCATTATAAGCAACTCAGGAATTGGCTTTCTTAGCTGTATTGAAAGAAAGTCCTAAATAGTATAATGTAAGCACATGCCTATTAGTACACTAGTAAGCATTGATGTTAAGATTACAAGATATGTATCAGATTTATTATAAAATGTGCACCCAGAATTACAGACTTTTCTGACAAACCAATATTTTACATTTGTTCATTGATACATTCACTAGAAATGATTTGCTTTTAGCAAAAAGTTTAAATAGAGCACCTGGGGCCAGCTAGATAGCTCAGCAGACTAAAGCACGTGCTTAGGTTCAATCCCCGGCATGCCATGCTGGCCCCACCCCCAGAGTGCACAGAGATGGTGATCGAGAGTGGGTGTGGTGGCACGTGCCTGTAATCCCAGCACTTGGGAGGCTGAAAACAGGAGGATCACTATGAGTCCGATCTATGTAGTGAGACTCTGGAGATCTGTACTAAATAATAAAATAAAATTAAAATTAAAAATAAATAAATAGAGCACTCTATGGGCATAGCAGTTGTCACCACCAGTTGGAAACACTCCTTACCCACTTGAACAAGCAACTCCAATACTAAACCCATTGTCCAAAGTGGCGATTGTGGTCAACTTAGTCCTCTGGGAAACTGAGTAGAAGAAAATCACTCTGCCTTGTTTCCCCAGCATTTCCCTTACCTGCACTCCCGTTAGTATGTACAACATTCCTAGGTGCACATTGGAATTCTGCACACAAGATCTAACGTTAACACCCAGATGCAAAAGAGAAATTGTCAGGTTTCTTGTTTGCACTTTGCAGTGGTAATAAGTAAGTTGTGAAAGAAAATGGTGATCATTAATTCTTGCTGTTATTAATTTGGACTTCTCATTCTTTAATTTAAAATATCACTGTTCTGACTTTTGTTTTGCTTTATCCCATATGATCACCCCATAATTAATTAAAGACAATTTGATTACATTTCTGGCAGTTTACTTTCCTCGCAACTAAGCTGATTCACTCATTTAAGGTACTATCTGGGCTCTGAAGGCATTTGACTTTGTGCCGTCTTCCTGAGATGACATTTACTCATTCTTCCCCTGCCCCTACAGTTGAGCCTTCAAGCGAAAGAAAAATTATTGGCAGTGAGTCACTGGAGGAAGAGAGTACTTTGGGTTAATTTCTACGTGTGTGATATATAAAATAGTAGCAAATAAAAGGGTGTTTGTCACCTGAGTGGATGGGTTTCAATTAAAGATAGAAGACATAACCGGATTTGAGGGCTGGTAAGAGGTTGTACTTAGACTCATGACCATCGCTTTCCTTTCTTCTCATCTTGTGCTTCCTGACCTTTCTCTGCCTTAGATGCCTACACAACAGCTGAAGTGGTTTATTCTTGGACTCTTGGGAAGAACAAATCTGTGGAAGTGGCACAGGATGGATCTCGCCTGAATCAGTATGACCTGTTGGGCCATGTTGTTGGGACAGAGATAATACGATCTAGTACAGGTATTTACTTATTTTATTCAACAAATGTTTGTGTAACCCGTACCACATGCAGTCACTGTTCTAAGTGCCCATAATTGTGTTGTGAGAGAGGTTCTGCTACAGTGAGGAAAAGCAGACACATACAGACACTCAATGTTTTTTTCCCACAAGCCGTAGCTGTGTAATGGCAGAGTCAACATCTGACTCAGGCCAACTGGTTCTTAAGTGCCTCTGAAGCACAGTGCCTGCTCCCTCTCAGGGAATCGAGCAAAGGGCAAAGTAGTTATGGTAAAATCAATAAGAGAGGGAGGACATGCTCATGGAAGATAAGAGTTTTGATCCTAAATATTTCATTAAGACATTGGCTTAACTCAGCTGATGCTGAGGAAGCAAGTTAATAATTCCATCTGAGGTCAGTGCACAGCTGGGTAGTAGTCATGGAATTATTTTCTTAAATGCATCACCTACTTACTGTAGAAACATACATTGCATGGTAAAACCTGCCAGGTCTTAGATACAGACAGATGTGGCTAGATACTCCTTTTGGAGCCTTAAAATGTGTCTACTTGTAAATTGAGTGGTTCTAGGAGCCTAAGAAAGCCTAAGGTGGCATCCTGAAAACCTCAACAGATTTAGAGTACATGGCACAATGAATATATTCTGGGGCATACATACAGCATGCTACTTTTGCTGTGTGAAGATGGAAACTTTCAACATTGCTTTTCGAGCAACCCTTGTCTCTGGGAATCTGTGATCATATATGGAGTAGAGCACCCATGCCCTTCTGTCTCCTCATCGAGATGTAGAACCTCATGGCACGTCATCTTGTCTGTCTCTTGTTCTGTGCGCACCCTAGCACTAGGGCTGGGTGCCTGAAAGTGGTAACATTTAAAGTAGATGCGAAGGACAGAAAGGACTTGGAAATCTACATCCCTCCTCTGCACTACCCAAATCACCTTCTGAGATAGGTCATTGGCCCATTTTCCTCGCTCAGTTAAACCAAAATCCCATCTTAATCAAATGGGCAACAAAGGACATTCATGATAGGAAAATCAAGAAGACATGGATGAATTAATAGGGAAAATTAAAAAGTTAGTTTTCTGGATCTTACTAAGTGCATATTAAAGTATGTTTTAAAAACCTCCATTTGTATTAAACATGTACAGGCTTTTATATTGTCATTATTCCCTAAATGATACAGTATACAAATTATTTATCTACCATTTACATGATATCAGATATTAGAAGCAATTGGGAGATGATGCGAAGTATAGGAGAGGACATCCATATCTTCCATGCGAATGTTCAGCCATTTCCTACGAGGGTCTTTTTTTTTTCTTTTTTGTATTTTAGGATGGAGTCTAAACAGGGTGTTCAGGGTCTCACTGCATAGATCACTCAGTGATCCTCCTGTTTACAGCCTCCCAAGAGCTGGGATTACAGGTGTGCGCCACCACACCCAGTCTCAATCTTCATCTCAGCATGCCCCGGGGGCGGGGCCAGCACTGCTGGCTGGGGATCGAACTCTAGGCTCCTGCCTCTACTTAAGCAGGCACTTTAATCCACTGAGCATTTTGGCCAGCCCCCTACAAGGGTATTTTTTGTATTAATTTTATTGAGAAAGAAGTAGCAACGAGACAGTTTCAAGACAGGTTAGTGAGACAGTTACAATAATTAATACACTGCATATTGTTGACTTTATATTAGTTATTCATAGTAAAAGGTGCAGACATGCCTACAAGGGTCTTGAGAGCTGATGGATTTGGTATCCACAGAGTTGCTGAGACCAAATCTCCAGGGAAACAGAAGGACAGCTATACTCTTTAATTTCCCTTTCTAGAAAGTCTTCCGAGAACATTTTGGTGCATTAACGAATGACTGAATACTTTTGTATTTATGAATATTCTTTCCATTTTTGTACAAATATGTTTTATATAAATGGAGCTATATCACTGATGCTATTTTATATATTAGTTTTATTTAATTTAACCTGAAACACATTTTGTGTCACTATATTAAAGGATCCAACTATAAGATACACAAAATTTAATAACGATGTGTTAACAATCAGAATGAACACACATCCATTATTACTTGTTTTGGTTGCTTTAAATAAAACAAAACAACATTAAAATGCATTCCACTAAGCCCTGAAAATTCCTAACAATATGTGTGTTGTTGGTAGTGGGAAGTACAGCATTTCATTATGAATTTTAGCAAAACATCATCTTCATTTTAATGGCCTCATGTATATTTATCATAACCCATTTAGCCAATTATGTGCTTCTGTGTTTTGTTTTAATGCTATAAACAAAGCAGTGAATACCTTCCTTATTCACATAGCATTCTGCCTCTGTGTAATTATCTGTGGAGTATGCAGACGGAATATTGAGATTGCTATTTCAGAGTAGACCTACTTTTGAAATTTTAATACATATCGACAAACTGCTATTCTGACAAGTTAAAGAATTCATGTCCCCATTCGCAGTGCGTGAGCATGCCAGCTATTACCATTGAATTATGCCTCCCTGCAAGCCACGTTGCATTTCTGACCCCAATATCTCAGAATGTGATCTTATTCAGAAATAGTGTCACAGCAAATATAATTATGGAAGATGGGGTCATACCGTAATAATGTGGCCCCTAATCTAATATGACTGTTGTTTTGTGAAAAAGTAAAAACTGGAAACACACACACACACACACACACACACACACACACACACATAAATCCCTTAATTTCAGACTTCTAGCCTCCAGAATTGTCAGGTAACAAGATGGGTTTGCTTTAACCCATCCACTTTGTGGTACTTTGTTCTGGAAGCCTGAGCAGACAAATGCAGTTGGATACTCCTTTTCATTTTCTTTTTCTTTTTTAAAATGTATTTAGTACAGGGCCTACAGGGTCTCACCACGCCGCTTGGACTCATAGTGATCCTCCTGTTTTCAGCCTCCGAAGGGCTGAGATTACAGGTGCTGTCCACCACACCCAGTCTCCTCTCAGTGTGCCCTTGGGGTGGGGCAGGCACCGCAAGCTGGGTACTGAACCCTGGTCCCTGCGTCTGCCTAAGCGGGCGCTTTAGTCTGCTGAGCTATATCTGGCCAGCCCTTCTTTTTCGTTTTCTTGAGAATAATCAAGCTAATATGTGGGTGTGGTGATGGAACTGAAAATGATGAACTTTGAAGTGTGTAATACCTAAAATGATCTCTGTTCTGAAGACAGGTATTAGCTCATTGAAAACTTTAGCAGCACTCTCTGGGGGTCAGTATTATCCCAGATTTACATATGAGGAAATAATGGCTCACACACGAAACGATTTAGTCCTCTAGGTTTACATTCCAGTGGTTCCCTCCACAATCATAAATAATGAGTTGATGCTGTTATTTCTTAGTTTTTCATCTTCAGATGTTAAACCTAGATACTCTGTCTGAGGGCTGGCCAAATAGCACAGCGGATTAAAGCACCCGCAAGCAGGCACAGGAGCCAGGGCTTCGATCCCCAGGATTGCTGTGCTAGCCCGACCCCTGGGGCGCACTTGAGAGGGCAATGGAGACTGGGCGCGGTGGTGCACGCCTGCAATCCCAGCTCTTGGGAGGCTGTAAAAAGGTGGTTCACTATGAGTCCGATCTAGTGGTGAGACCCTGAACACCCTGTAGACCCTTCCCTACAATAAGAAGAAAAAAAGAAACTGTCTGACTGTCTGAGGTATATGAGTGTGTTGCTCGCTCCATTTACGCCCTACTGTCTCTCTGCTCTTTCAGTTCCATTATAAATTGTGATAGCTGGCTATTATAATTACCTAAGTTTCTTGTTCTATCACCCTTCCATCCCCATGTCTTCATCCCTTTCTTGCTTGCTTAGGCTACCAGCTAAAGTTTTTCTTTCCATTGTCAAAATGGGCTAACATTCATATTAAAATTCACATTTTGGAGATAGAATAATGACCATCCAAAGACATCCATATTCTAAACCCAGAATTGGTAAAATGTTAGCTTACATGGAAAGGAAATTCAAATTACCAAAGGAAGCAGGCTTCCTCGTCTTCTGACTTCAAACTAGCGAGAGTATCCTGAACGATACAGATAAACCCGACATAATCACCCACAGACTTCGTAAAGGAGACGCAGGGAGACTACAGTCAGAAAGCAACGGATTAGAAGATGCGTAGCTGCTGGCTTGAGAGATGACAACTGCAGCAAATGCAGGCAGCCTCGTCCCAGGGAGCATGAGAAAAGGATACAGCTCTCCCAGCTATGTGGATAGGTAGCAAAACGACATGTTTCCTCATCAATATGGAAGTTTTCATGTTTATGTGTCATTTTTTAAATTTAAAAACCTTGATTTTAACACGAATACCATTTTAGAATTCTGACTTTCAAAAGTATAAGAAATAAATTTGTTAATCAGTAGGAAACAAATACAGTTCTATGCCTATAATTAAACCTTCAATATTTGCTCTATAGATTGAGTTTAAAGTTGACAGCCCTCAAAGTGTATTTCTACTAGCACAGTGTGTAAAAACGCTCTTCGGGGGAATTTCTTTTCTCACCTAGGGGCTAGCATCCACTGAAATTGCCCTCATTGTCTACAGAAAGACTCTCCGGTGGCTTGCAGTGAGCCCTTGGCCTTCTTTCTTTTGCTGGGAGGAGAGTAAGTTTCTTACAGTCACATGTCTGTGGAGGTCGGAGGCCCTAACTATGCTATATAGAGATCTAGAGGTCAACTGCCTGCTTTCCCTCTGTGCTCGACACCTCCCAAGCCTCTCCAGTGGCTGCAGCCTCTAGATTTGGGTGCCGCTTGAGGCCTGCAGGCGGGCTTCCCCCATGTGCTGCCTCTGCAGGCGCCGCCTGCACCCCACGCCTTCGCGGCCTCTCACTTGCAAGAGACATGTCTTTCTCCTTCTGCCATTTTAACTGTATCTTCTAGCAGTTTTTGTTTCCTCATTAAAAAAATTTACAGTGTAACTAAATTTGGAATTTGTTTTGATTTGCATTATGAGGTGGGGTGTCCTACTGTACTA